ACGCTTCAAGGTAAGCCCCACTCCACTGAATTGGAGAATTCTAGAACACGTATAAGAGAGTGCTCCAATGGCAGTGGGGCACAATTGAGATAATTTCGACGATTAGAAAAGAAAAAGAAGAAGGTTAGTGTTCAATGAGCTCGAGATAGCTGCCTGATGAGAGGAAGGGACGCCGGGTACAATCTTTCTTTGGTTCCAGCCCCCCGGTAACACCAAAGCACACCAGTCAACACTGTACTATAGCGCTTACACCTGTGAGTTGGGAAAATAATATCGTATGTTAATAAAAGACCTGAGTTGGCGGAAAAAAAAAAACTAACGCTAACTAAGTGTTTAGTTACCATGCCCAAAAGCCCCATGCCTTTCCTGGTTGGATAACCAAATCCAACCGGCGATTTCCTACAAGTTTGTCTTTTTTTTGGGGGAAGCTAAGAAAGGACAAAGAAAAATGAATATCATGTTTACACCGATCGGATTTCAAAAAGTCCTTCGACCCTTACGTTTTATTCATTCTATGATTCTCCTTTCTACCCTTGTTTTGACTACCTGTCTCCTGTCTCATTGGATTGGCTTTGATCCCTACCTTATTATAGTGAGGGTCAAAGGTTCCATTTTACTCCATGCCTTACGTGCTCTTTTTAGGCTCTTTGGTTTGGAAATACCTATCCTTCTTCTTTCGCTCATCGCTTTGGTAGGCGGTTGAAGCAGCTTTCAAATGGAGGATAATTCCGCTGGAGGAAGGGCGGTGGATTCAGGGTCGGGGTCGGATAATTGGCAAAAGTACCTCAACTTATCCGAGGAAAATGACTCCGCCGCATCAGCCTCTCCCCCGTCGTCCTCTTTTTTCAGAGGACTTTCGGACATGTCCCCTGCACCAGACCTTGGGGAGGAAGTGCAGCAAGTGAGCCCTACTCATTCCATTTCCCAAACGGATCTATGGAATTCACCTTCCTCGTCGGCTCCAACCCCAGGTCAGGATAATCAACCGCCCCTGATCCCAGAGCTCCACCCTCCGCTTCTCGATGACGACACCCGTCGAGCGGAGCTCGCGAGTAGGTTAAGAACCGTTTTATGGGGGAAAGCTTATAGGGAAGAAATGATAGACTCCGTTGTTGATACGCAAGTGCACATTGAAAAACATATTCAAGCTGCACTTGTGGGACGGGACTATTCGGTTGAGTCTCTTCTTGCGAAGAGGCACCAGATCAGGGGGCTCATCTTCTCCCCAATGGGAGAAGCGCTTAGTGAAAGGACTTACGCTTTGCACCTGAAGGAGATTCTCCAGTTGGGTACAGTGCAAAGCCTTCCATTTCGGCGGGTTGAAAGGA